TTTCGTTTTTTTTTAACTCTACGCGGACAGAGTCGCGCGCGAAAGCTAGTATTATAATTCTCATTCGTTTGAAAAATATAGAGATATCAAATTTCTTGTAAGGATTAAGATAACGTTCCTTTAAAGTGACTTTACTACGGAATGTGTCGATTTATATATACTCGTAAACATAAAGTACAGTCGGGGAATCTGGCGGTACTCCACCTTAATAGCTAGTCGTTTGAACGTATTAATGATGGCCTGAAAAATAACCAATAGGATGCTCTTTTGATGTGTCTGCACAAAAAAAGGTCGTGGTATGCAGCTAATAGTTTTTTTTTTAATATTAACCCGTGGACTTGGTTTTGTTGCAAGGAACAAGGCAATATTTATGTAATTGGAATGGCGCGGATTTCCACGACTGTACCTACAGGTTGTAAATATATCTTCATCTAGCTCTTATCCTTTATGGTGGGTCGGCACAGTATGTGCTGCTCTTCCATACATCTCTATTAGTCATATCTAGTTTCGAATAAATCTTGTATGCAAATCTTCGTTATAAAACTACAATTGTTTATGTTTAATGAAATTATCTTGTCTTTAGTAGAGTTTTATTGTAATTAAGTCTACATTAAAATTAAAGATGAAAACTTAATTGCCAGACTCCTGTGACCTGAAAGGAAATATAACATTCATTAACTAAATTTAGCAGTATCTTGTGATAATATCTCGTAGTAAATTAAAACGTTTATGTTTTTGAGGGGAAAGTTTATAGGATAAGACCACTGGGCGATTACTAGTGTAAATGCTAACAGTAAAACCCTAAGTAACTAAGTGTTTAGTTTAATTACCAATAATCCGGAATCTCTTCCTTCAAGGCAGAAGCTTTTAGTGGATTTCCCTGAAATAGTAAAACTCATATTACAAAACAATTCTTAGAACCTCGTAACCTCATTATTATATTACAAAAGCGTAAATTTGGATGGATGTTATCGCTAAAAAACGACTATTCGAACCTGTAATTTGACTTCGTCGTTGGTAAATAGATTTTAATGTTTGTTTACATACTTGTATAATTTAGAATGAGATGTATATCTATACTAACATAATAAATTGGAAAGATTTGTATTTTTGTATGTATTGTAATAACTCAAAAACTACTGGGTCGATTTAAAAAATCTTTCACAATTAAAAAGCTACGTTTTCACTGAGTAATATAGGTTATATTTTTTAATTAAACGCGGACGAAGTCGTGAGCAACAGCTATATGTAAATTGAAACAAAGTAACCTTTGCATGAGCAATCCAAGCCACAGTAGTGTTGTGCATGCGCGGACCCATGATAGGATTCATCTGCCCGATGTAAACGGTTACCCAGCTGAAATATTATAAATGTTTAGGTCACTTATTACAGACCTCGGGAAGGGTTTAGCTTTAGCGCCCTGGGCGGTCACATTCGCCCTTCCCCTGCTTTGGTTGAATACTTCCGATAAGCTTTGAAAGATTTAGCTAAAAGCGTATAACGTGGCCAACTGCAGCAGAAGCCGGCGACCTTAACTTGCACCTTTATTGTAATAGTAACATTGACCTATCTGAGAAAACTTTTATCATAATAATGTTAAACAAATTAATAACTTACAAGATCCATATGCAGAATATAGACAGCATAATACTGCATCTGATAATTCTGAAAATACAAATCAAGATCAAACAGATACTAAATAGAGTAAGCAATATTAGAAAATAACGATTTTTGGACACACATTTAGTTGTATAGTTATTTTACTTTCTCCTTAATGTGTCGATCGAAACACTTTTTAAATAACAAGATGGCAAACGAGGAAGCGGCTACTTAAATTCGCTAGAGTAGCGAAGTGACAGCGCGATAGACATTCGCAAAAGCAGATGCGTTGCCTACCTTCAATAGAACACACAAACACGACACACAGAAAGAATTTCTCGAAACAATTTTATATCTTAGTATCATGTATTTTTGATAAAATTTTCT